GGGGGGGAGGTGGATTTGACATGTGCAAACTGCTAGCTTCACCACATGCACATCACCTTTCTCTTGCCTCACTCCGTTTTTACAGCAGTAATTTTGGAAAGCAATGAACTCTAAGCTAAAGATTACAGCAATCACTCTGATACTGTCAGAAGAATATTAAGAGTCTCTACTGATTCACTTCTACATTAAATCCCTAGTCTGCAATGCATCAAAACTATCTCCTTCCTAAAAATATATTATTTAGACGGCGTGTGTAATTGAGGTTCTAATGCACTATTGTCAACTTGCTACCACAGTGAAGCACCTTGACTATAAGAGACAGTCACCTCATTTCTAGTTTAAAAATATATACCTCCAGCCTGATTTTTGCCTTCCAGCTTGTCATTATCTGCCTACCTGAAGAGCTAAGTCCAGAAGTGCCTTCCCCATGGGAAGGGAAACTTACACCCGTTACCAAATCACCTTTCTGCTGGATAAACTAAACAGATCAAGTTAGCTGATGTCTCTGAGGTCGGACTGCATGGCACCTCCCCTGCTGTTCTGGGCAACAGGCACAGTACCAACACGTGCCCATGACAACACCTCACAGGCAGTTTACCCTACACAGAGACTTGCTTGTTCAAAGCTGACTGTTTCTACATGGTGCTGGATTGTGTAGGGCTAGAAAAAAAAAAAAAAATAATTGCTTCTGTAAGAGAAGCACAATTTACACCCAAGTAATTCAAGTAGTCTTTAAATATTTGGGAGGCAGAAAAAAAAAACCCCACAAAATCACAACACAAACCCCCAAGGTTTTCCCAGTATATTATAAACAAACATGGATACCCAAATAAAGGAAAAACAAAGGCCTCACTAAGGCCAAAGATGAAATAGAAGCCATCCAGCACACTCCCTTATGGTCTGTGATGAAGAAAACACTTGCATTCTCAGAACTGAACTCAAACACTTTGTACTTTCCGCTACTGACCTGGAAATGCAGTAAACAAAAACAGGACTTTGGCTAAAGGAAAAGTGGGAGGCAGAGAGGACAAAAATATAACACATTAGCTCTCATGCCTAACATACTCAATAGCTCTGAGTAGCAGCCTAAAGCAAAAGCCCATTCCCTCAGGTTACCATCTGTCCTGGTCTTTGCTTGAAAACAGGTAGTTTTCTGAAGTAATTGTTCTGTATCTCCTTCAGTTCTGTCTTCTTTCTATCTTTTGGATTCTCTGCTGAGGAGAGTAATTTACCAGGTACTGACCCAGAAAGCAGAATGCCATAGTATGACCTCAGATACTGGAAGAATGCAATATATATATGGATATTTTCAACAGCATGCCATTGTTCAGGCCAGAGGTATAGTCACAATTACAAGGACTTCAGTTCCACTGTTCCCCCCCCAGAGCAACTCCTCAGCAAACAGCAACAGATACCACTTCCCAGTTTTCTGCTAAAGACTGGGGAACTGGTCACATATCATCATCCATTAACAAAAGCTGGACTGGATCAAAAGAACAAAAGAAAGATCTGTATCTGGCCTGTATCTATCAGAAGGCAACAGTGGAGGGATGCCCAGGAAAGACAGGTCAAGACACCTCTCCAGGCAAGGAAGTCACTTGTAGCTCAGCTCAGGAACCTCCTGAGAGCAGGCAGTAGATTCTATACTTCACAAGCTCCAGGGGGAACATTCCAGGTATGTCTATCCCCTACCAGTAGAACAGCTTAGCAGAAGTACAACAGCTGTGATGCAGGAGCCCAGAGTTAACTCCAGTCTGCTCATATCATCAGATGCTCTGCCCTGGTCCCCAACTAGTGGGACTGTTCCTTCCTCCTGCCCTCCAATGAATAGACACTAACCCAAGAGGAAATCTGTGGAAAATCTAGGTCTGCAAGAGCTGTGTTAGCAGACAGTACTGAAGAGATGCAGCTTATCTCCTACCTCAGCCGCACCACATGGAAAAGGCTGTTTCTCAAACCAGGCCCAGCTCAAATGACAATGTATAATTGAAGACCATGGGACTTCCCAAACCAAAGGGGAAGATCCAGATCTACACCAGGCTTTTGGTGCTTGATTTCCAACAATTTCAGGCCAGACTCTGAATCCTGAATAGGGCCTAAAGAGCCTACTGAATCTGGACTAACACTTCATTTAAAACAAAGGGCATCTGCAAATTCAGCAGACCTCCTTCCCAGCTGTTTTGGTCAGCATAGGACACTGCAGAATTGTTCCTTACGCAAAATGGAAGAGGCACTGCTCCCTGCACCATGCAGGCAGGAAGAGACAAGACCCCCTTTCCTCCTTGCACAGGCAGCCACCATGCTCCAATCTCCAGCCTGCCTTTTCTAGGAAAACTACCAAAGAACTTCTTCCCTCACCTTGCTAGGGTCTCTCCATCCCCTACCTGTGTTTCCAGAGGTTGGCTCTATGATCGTGTCCCCAGGCTTCAAGATCCCAGCCTTCTCAGCATCCTCTACCATCCTCAGGCTGATGCGGTCCTTCACACTGCCCCCAGCATTGAAGAACTCACATTTTGCCACTGGAAACAAAGAAACCAAGCAGAGTTCGTAAAACAGTGGTCCTTTGCTAAACAGGCTGCTGATCCCTAACATATCTACAAAAGCAGCTCTGTTAACTTGTCTGCCCAATTCATCTCCTTCCCTGACAGGGATTCAGTTCAGTGTCTCCACTGTTTTGGGTCAAAACAACACTGCAAATTTGGTAATTTATACTGGTCACAGAAGCCAGGAACCCTACTCTGTCAGTCTCCTCAAAATATGACCTCTCATTTTATCTTTCCTCTTTATTGCAGCATAGTCATTAGCATAAGAAGCCCCAGGGCTCTTACAGTACAACTGCATGAAGGAAGAGAACTCTACCAACATGCCTTGCTCTTTCTCTACTACATTTTCCAGCCAAAGAGTTCCTGATCAAACCGAGAGTTTCTCCCTTTGTTCAGCCTATACTTTCACTTCAGTACTTTCAGCATTAATCCCTTCAGTGGTGTTAGACACCTTTTAGGACTCTGATCAGAGCCTCCAGATATCTCCAGTATAGTTGGGTTTAAAAAACCCAGACAAACAAAACATTCACTGACAGTTTTATCCCTTTCATCATTTTCAGTGAACTTTAGTAGTAACTTCAAATCTGCATTTTACACACATTGATGAATATTCTGAATACAAGAAGCAGTTAAAAAACTTCATATGAAAGATTTTTTAAATTAAAACATTATTTTCTGCTATGAAAAAAAAGTTTTATGTTTTCTACAAAAATGGAAAAGCTGCAGGAAATGTCTTAATGAAGTTCAAATTGATGGAGGTTTTAGATGACCAAATCCTAAAAACCTGAAAATCTGCCAAAGAAAGAGGAATTTTTCTCCCCATATTCTGCAGGGTACCTGCACTTCTCTTGTGCCCAGATTACACAACACCACCAACCAGGACTACCCAAGTTTCTGAAATAGTATTTGGTTTTTATTTTCTGCCTGCAGCAGTACTCACAGAGTTCACACTTGAGCCCATACTGCTTCCCAATCTTGTTGATTCGCACCAAAGGTGTATTGCCAACTTTATTCAGGATGCTTGGCAGGATTTTCAGAGGTTCTGGCCTGATACACATATAACAAAGGTCAGTGTATTCACAGGAAGGGCCAGAAGCAGGTCACACAAAAGCAACATAGAATTTCTGATACTTTTTATTTCAACCAGCTTTCTCCCTCCCTTTTATCAGGCTAGCTATTTGTTATATTTTGGTTTAAGAGTACGACCATTGGACAGATTCACAAAAAAACAAGTCCTTGATCCAAAACAAGGATTAATTAGACATCAAGCCAAGTGCTGAGGCAAGAATGAAGTGCTCTGCCCTTTCTCTTGGCATGAAATACCTTAGCACTGCTCAGAGTCAGCTATTTTAAAAGCAAAAGGCATAAAGAGAACAATCTTTCATCTACTCAGGGAACTGTTTGCCAGATTACTTAAAATAAGTTAGTTCCAGTCCATGTAGTTTCACATCTTTGGTGCAAGGTCCCTTGTGTGCTTTATCTGGGCTCTTAGCTTTGCTTATACATGGAAACTAAGAAGCACCACCATACTAGGCAGCATGAATTTAGATCAGTCATCTTCTTGTTAAATCCACATGGCTCTTGGGACACTTGGATTAGTGCTGTACTGAAAACCAGCAAACAGAAGTAATACTTACAGAGTAGTATGACGATGAGGGGAGGCAGAGAGAGGTTTCCCAAGCTTCCATGTGCATTTGCTAGGTGTATCAGGGCGAATCCACTCCCTTTCCTTCTCATTAGCCTTGCAGTTCCCATTTTCCATCCCACTAGGGAGAAAATATTTGCCAGATGCATGAGGGCATGAGTTTGTATCTGGCTTCTCCTGGGAAGGACGTGTAGGCATTTTATTCTTGGGGAAGGGAAAAAAAGAAAAAAAGTTATTTGTATGCCCTGCTATAAAAAGGTCAGAGCATCTTTTAAGATTATCAAAGTTATTCAAGTTCTGCACCATGGGAAAGCACCCATTCACACCACTGCCCCCTCTAGAATAGCTAAAAATCATATTACTAATAATTCCTTATTCTTTTCTGTCCTTTGACCAACATATCTATTTCCAGCTTAGTGTTTCAGCATGCAGCTCTTCTGAGGGAAGCCCTGAACAGAAACTACCCTGGTGACAATTTTCAAGAAAACAATATTGCCTTTAAGTCAAAACAAGCAATGACAACAAGTAGCTTCTAACACCCAAGAACACGTTCTGCCACTGAGTACAAGATATCCTGTCTCTATACCTAAGACTCAGGTATTAGGGGAGAGAGCATAGCATGTCTCAGTTAGACAAATCCCATTCTCAAGTATCCCTGTCTTGTTTTACTCTTTTATGAAAAAGTCACAAATAGATATTTTAATGGTCAATTGATGTTTCCGTAGTATGGTGAAGATGAGAAAGCATTTCAGCATAATTTTGATTTGCCGAACCCTTACCACCAAAATGAGAACCTTGCACTGCAACATTAAGTGCAGAAGTTCAATACAGTGAATGCCCTATGTGAAGACAACTGCAAAACTCTGAACCATGTGCTTACTCTAACAAACTTCCATAAATATTAAAAAAACAGGACTAGTCTCAAGGGAGATACCCCACCCATACAAAAAAGACAGCTCTTGAAATAAAACCTCCCTGTTCCAAGCAGAGAGGAACAGAGTAGAGACTATTTGGCGACTGATTAGAGAAGGTGCCAAAAGACTGCAACATTTCTTGTGGTCATGAAGGAAGAGTTTTCCAGGAAGGGGTTGTTTCAATAGCACTTACCCCTATATCATTCCAGAAAAAAACCACGAAAACAAAACTAAACCAAAAAAAAACAAAACAAAAAAACCCCAAACAACACAAAAAACCCCACAACAACCTAGAAGTCCCTCTGAAAACGGATAAGCTTTTCCCAAATTCTGGTGACAGAAAGACAGGAAAACAGTATTTCCCAAAGACCAAGGAGTACCTTAGACACAGAAACAGGCCTTTCTGATATCTCCATGTTCTGTGTTGAAGATGATGGTGCAGTAGGCTGGACTTTCTTCAGGAGACCAAGTACTGTGGGTCACAGACTGGAATCTTTTTCAAAGCTGCAGATCATACAAGTTAGAAAAAAAAAACCACAACAAACTATCAGGAAACAGGCTCTTGTAAGGGGCAAGACACACATGCTACTTTCATGGGGAAAAAAAAAGAAGCTGCAAAACAAAGTGAAAATGACATGTATAAACAGGATTAAAAAAAAATAAAAATCATGCAGCACAGGTATTATACAACGGTCTTCTGATTCTGTTCTCACTATATGACCAAATCTTCCCTCTACCCTGTCCTCCACAGCTCAGATGCAGGAAAGCAAGCAGAAAATGTCTTTATTGGACTGTCTACAATTCCATAAGCCTAAAAGTCCACAAAGTAATAGAAAATATCCCAGTTCACAGGATATGTACTTCTGGAGACACGAAGAGCGAGAGGGCTTCAAGGTGCCATGAAACAAAAAACCCTGTACACAACTTAGGAAAAGGCTTTATATGGGAACACTTGAAGAGGCCTCTCTACCCTTGAACCAACCAAAATCTCACAAGTTCCTACCCCAACTGAATTAGTGTTGCATGCACAACTATAGTGATGCTGGATATAACACACACAGCAAACTCTTCAACCACAAAGAAGCAAAGAAGCCTACTGGCAGGGCTTTTGTTTCAGACATCAGTAAAAAGGAAGCAGTAAACTAATTTCTACTACTCCAGCTAGTTGTTCATAGAGCCTGCCTGCTTCATTCCAATGAAGACAAAAATCTGGCTGAGGTCTTGGAAAGTGGGGGTGGGAGGGCAGCAGTTTCCTAATTGTTTTTCTCATCACCATTTTGCAGCAATTCAGCTCTTTCCATTACTGAATTGTGGTAGGCCTAGAAAGGTTCCCTGGCCTCATCCTCCTTCTCCTGACAAATGCACACAAAACAGATATGGTTTAGATCAGGCAGAATCGATGGTCTGGTGACACACTGAAAAAAAAAACAAAACTGAATCACAGGATCAATGAACTTTAGCATTTGATCCTGCAAGTTAACATGCACCACTAACCACTACTGCCTTACGCTCATCAATTCCTTTCTTGCATGCTGGTTTGAAGAAAATGCCTAAGGCATTTAAACTGCCCTCCTTTAGGAAAAAAAAGGCCCTGGAAGTGCCAACTTTCCAGACTAAGACTTGAAATTATTCTCCTTCTGGATATAAAGACTTTCGTGACACCAAAATTACATAATTATACTCTATTTAGGTTAATACATGCCCAAGAGCCAGGACAGACTATATCCTGTCCTATCCCACTGACCAAGATTACAGTGATACACCAGGCTAAGAAAGCTAGCATCCCATAAATACACAAACTATCACCCACCAACCTTTGTTAAAAAAAAATCAGCTTACTTTCAGTTCCAAAGTGAAACCCAGCCTTTATTTCTATAAGGTGCTTGGTTCACAGTTGAGAATATCAGCACCTTTTTTAGTACAGAAAAAGTACTGAGGAAGTTTCAAGTCCTTCTGTAAGCCACATCTACATACTCCTTCAGACAGCTGGCATGCAATACTGGACATGGACACCGACTGCCCCTGCTCAGAGCTATCACTGACAATATTTACAAAGTCCATCTAATAAAGGTACCATGCTGCCAAAGTCCATCTAATAAGTGTACCTTGATGCCAAAAGATCAAATCATTTCAACATGCAGGAAGGAAGCAGCAAGGGCTTAGATAGGAAACTGCAGATTTTGTTCATCATCTAGGCTCTCATAAAATAGGAGTGCAAAATCTTTAAAAGCTTCAAATCACCAATCATCAGTGTCCTTCAAGAGGGTCTAAAGATTGAGGAGAGACGCAGAGAGATTTGTTGCAGCAAAAGTTTCAGCGGTTTCAAACAATAAGTACTTGTTCTTTGTATTAGCAGGAAAGAAGTTAATGCAGCTATGTTCAAAAGCTGCCTTTTGAAGGATTCCCTTCAAATTGGGCAAGACAGTACTATCTCATTTCCTTTAATGTAAGGCAAAAAAAATCCATAATCTACTAATAGCAACACTCATCATCTCTTGAGCTAGAAATAGCAGGAACGGAGGAAAAGCCATATTTGCTGCCTTCAACTAAGCTGTTAAGACTCATTTTTAGAATGGTAATACTCTGGGGTTTGATGAACACTTCAATAATGGGGTTAAAACTCTGGACAAAAATCAGGAGAGAAAAAGCTAGCCCCATGCATTGTCAACAAAATCCCTGTCACCAAAAACCCTATCACCAAATACTAACCTGAAGCAACATCATCCATTGGAAGGAACACAAGGTCCTGTTCAGTCGATCCCTTCAAATCATTTTATTGGGCATTATTAACCCCACATCCACATAGCCCAAAGTAAACAGGTATGAATATATACACTTATAAAATCAAATTCTATCCACATTAGTAGAGAATCAGTCCCAGCTATGTTCAATGCAATATCTTAGGGTTTGAAGGACAAAATCCTCAGACTGACTTGGTTGTTCTCCAAGGATAATTCTTACTACAGCACTCAGAGACATAAAAGCATCTGCAATAGCTTATACAGTTATACCTAAGAACCAGGTCAAGAGCCCAAGGGTGACTTCTAATGTTCAGAACCAACAGGAAGACTTCAGATCTTCAAGTTCCTTCAGTGCAACTGATGAGCTTCCCAACACATCACCCAGAACATCCAGCTGGTGCTTACAACCCTAGATGATGTAACTTCAGCAAAATAGGAGGCAGAGGTGGTCAGCCTGGGATATCAGAAGTCCCCTAATGATCCTGCCTACAGGCCCAAATCAGGCCATAGGGAGCCTCATGGGCAAGGCTTACATCTCTGGACCCACCCCCACAGAGACTCAAGATCTAAACATTAATTCCTACTGAATAGCACTGAAGGCCAGGGAGTGAAATTAATCTCCAAATAACCTGAGCTGAACTCACTCCATAGATACATTAGCAGCTACAATTTCTAAGGCTGCTTATAATACACAATGTCAGCACTAATGTAGATACTTAAAGAGTATCATACGTGCCAGAACCTAATTGACTCGAGTCTTGCCTGAAGCAGAAATGAAGATGAAAGGCAGGTGTAAGAGGTGGATCAGAGAGAGATGCCTCAAGGGCTGACTACTCAGCAAGAGATGAGATACACCATTCCTTTAGGCTGTAGCCTGAGAATGGGAAACTCTGATGGTAAGCAGGTACTTTACTTTGTGAAGAAACAAACCACTGCCAACCTGTTGCTCTGCTCACTCTGAGTATCACAGGGACTCAGAGAGCTTTAGGATCTTTACAGGTTACCTGATGTAGCAGTACTGATCCACCCTTTAGAAGATGTTTGGAAACACCACAGCTATAAGTGATTCAGGAGACAGTCATCTGAGTTCTGTTTTTTGTTGGGGGATTTTTTGTGTGTACATGTGTTTGTCTGTTCTTGCTACTTCCTCAGAAGCAGGTAGTGATCACTCTTGTGTCAGGAAGCATCAAGTGACCTGAAGTAACCAAGTATGAAATAATGACACTGTAGGTCTAGGAAGAGATCCTTCAAGAATCAGAAGTCTTGCTTCACATGTTTTTTTCTACAGAGCAGAAAAGTACATGTGTGTCCTCTTGACGGTCACTCTTTCTTTCAAGGCTAGACTGGCATACTTAAAACCTTCCTGATAGCAAATGGGTAGTTCTTTAACAACCCCCACAACTGTAACATAGCAAAGATACTAAAACTTCAATGGCAAAGTAACTTCCCCTGCTAAGGCAATTGTTATGCTAGAGATTTGCCAGTGAAAACATGAAAGTATTCAGTCTGCCTTCCCCCCACAGAAAGGAAGCTGTGCATGTAGCCCTAGCACAGGTGTCTTTCACAACTCCATTTCCTGAGTTGCCTCCAACCCTGTCTGGACTCACCTGGTAAGTCTTCTGAATGAAGACTGATCTCTTCAAGGAGCATAACAGCATTAGTGAAAAGACTGGAGAATGCCTTATCTGCTTTTTTACCTACTGCAATGAGAACCTTTCATGCATCTTTCCCTCCTTCTAGCGCCCTCTCCTTAGTCAGTGAGCAAAGACAGACCACCGCTACTCTTGATCTGCCCAGCTCACCAAGCACAGGGAGGGATGCACTACAGGTAGAGTTACAGAGGCTTGGAGATTAAGCAACTTAACCAGCATGACATAGAGAGAGCTAGAACTCTGCCCTCTTATTTCTGACCAGGTCTGTAAAACAGGCAGAAGCACAGCTTCCCCCCACCCAGTATTATCATGCCCATCCCACCACACCCAGAAGGCAACACATATTTTATTACCCCAGCGACCACCGATAAAGGCTGGCATAGAACCACTGGTCACCACAGGCTGGGCAGGAGCCCAGCTTTTTGGCTGATGCATGTTCTGTGGGAAAGACCAGCTGCCACCCACTCGCCTCCATCTGCAGAGCTTTTGGCAGGCATTCACAGCACAACCATAAGCACAGTACACCCTGCTGTCCTGCCTAGTTCTTATGATCTCACCTGCAGACAGCAGGCATCCACCAACAGCCAGAGACCAGCCCATCCCAGCCCCGCTGGCAGCTTGCTGTGCTGCCAGCCCCAGATTAGTGACATACCTGAGCCAGCACTCATGCTCCAGGACATGAGCCCTCCATGACTCTGGCTACAAAGCACAACTTTTAGAAATACTGCTCTAGCTTCAGGAAAGCAGGCTGGTTAACCCACACACAGAGCGTCACAACAGGATACTGAGAAGCCACCAATGTTAAAAAGGATCACCTGTCTGAACACCCTAAGTACTGGACCTAACCTAGCACCTAAATCGTATTTCACCGTAGTGATCTCACTACAGCCATTCTTCCTTCCAAGAAACACCAGGCCCTGAGCAAATCTGTGTCTCCCAGGAAACACCTTTCCTCCCTGACATAAAATTCACAGATTTCTCATATCTCCAAGCTCTGACTTTCACCTCCTTTCTACAGGACAA